ATCCGCCTGCCTCAGCCTCCCAAAGTGCTAGGATTACAGGCATGAGCCACTACACCCAGCCATGCCATGATACTCTAGAACTAGACATTTGTTTTCTTTCACTCTCTGCCTCCTACTTTTCTTGCCCTGGCCTTCGGAGCCCTGGCACATCTCACAGTTCTCTCTGAAACTGGCAGAGCCAGTCTTCATCCCTGATCCCTCTGGCCATCAGCGGGTGGATTCCATCTCCTCTTGAATGAGTTTTCTTCCTGGTTGCTTTTCTCTCTACAGGGCCCAAATGTTGATTAACTCCTTTGGGTAAAAGTAGGCACTGGGGCCAGCCAAGCAGTGAGTGGAGTTGGGTGATTACATTGCGATGTTTTAATTTGTCTTCAGACAAATTCTCATAAGCTTTCACGAGAAAATCTCCCATTAGATGTAGTCATTTAATTTAAGAACAGTTGGGAGAGGAAGATGAGCTAAGATGACAGATGGAGGAATGCAGATGTATGTCTTAGAGGGACTCAGAAGCACTCTGAGGATTTGGCATCCAGTGAAACACAATGTCGGCTTCTACTGATTGTGCCCATGGACTTGAGAAATTGTCAAGAAATCATTAGAATACAGGGATTTTCTCCGATAACAAGCAGGTTTCATTATTTCCTTCTGTCTGTAAAGTCATAACAAGGTCAACTAAAGAACTGGATACTCCCCACCCCCAACACCCTAAATCTAGCAAGTACAAAAAAAAATTTCGAGTAGCCTTATAGGAAGGCAAAACCAAACAGAAACACTATAACAAGGCTGCTGTTTGAGATAAGTTCCCTTTGGTCATACTGCCACAAGGATAATTGTTTTTAATTCCATGCTTTGTCTGGCTTCCTTCATACAGATTTCCCGAACATCCTAATTTGGTGTTTTTATCATTCAACATCTATTATTGTTTTAGGACCACGGTTATTATTTTAATTATAATTTAAAGCTACCCAGTATACCCAGAGGTCACTGGGCACCTAAAAGAAATAAATAAAAACAACTTGCCATTTTTAAAAGCAGCATGTTTATTTGCAAGTCCCACGAGCCACTCAACCAAGACATCATAAAACCTTCAAATAAACTAAAACGGAAACAAAATAAAATGTTCGTTCTTAATCTCCTTAGAAGGCAAGCAGGAGAAAGTTGCAGCTAGCTGAACGCTGGCATGAGAACTCTGAGGGCGATTTTATTACTGCGTCCAGGAGCTGAAGTGTGTATCTCAACATCTACATTCCATACTCCCAGCTGCAGTGGGTTTACAGTTCCTGAGCTTTGATGTAAAGTTTTAGTCAATGAGAAGTCAGTATAGCAACAATTCTGGTGCAGAAAAGAAAGGGGTAGATGAGAGGCTTACAAACGCCTACCCACTGTCTACTTTATCCAGACAGCACTGGCTAGCTCTCTGCAGTGTAGGTACTTACGAAGCAGTATTGATCTCATCAGCTCTGATATTTTAAAATGTAGAATTGCTGAAATATCAAAGTCTAGTGATTTTACATTTAGAAGGCAAAAGAAATTTCAAGACAGTTCTATAATATCCCTACATGTGAGTTTCCATAACAGAAAACAGTAAAATCATTTTCAAATCATTTACTGCTAGCATTTTCCATGTAATCAAAGCTGTTATGGTTTGTTAAGCAACAGAATTATCTAGTGGGCAAGAGGCTTATGCTGCTCCAAGACCTGCTGGCTACACAATATGCAAATCAACGAGTACTGTAGAAGCCATCAGATAAATATAGTCAGGATCTCCAGTGGAAAGCATCTCTTCCCTCCACCCCCAGAATTGTCTTATTTGACCATTACTTTTTTTTTTTTTTTTTTTTGAGACGGAGTCTCCCTCTGTCACCCAGCCTGTAGGGCAGTGGTGCAGTCTCGGCTTACTGCAACCTCTGCCTCCCGGGTTCATGTGATCCTCCCACCTCAGTCTCCCAAGTAGCTGGAACTACAGGCATGCACCACCATGCCCAGCTAATTTTTGTATTTTTAGTAGAGACTGGGTTTCACCATGTTGGCCAGTCTGGTCTCAAACTCCTGACCTCAAGTGATCTGCCTGCCTCGGCCTTCCAAAGTGTTGGCATTACAGGCATGAACCACTGCGCCCACTGGCCATTACTAATGGCAAAAACTGCAATTACTTTTGCACCAACCTAATAGATTGTTTAGAATGACTCTCTTTAGGAATCAAAGAACTGTACTGTCAAGTTTGGGTCACCCCAAATTTCAAAAACAAGGTAGAAGAATGATGTCCTCAGAGTGACAAAAATGGAGTCCCAGAGATCTCCTTCCTTACTATGGAAGACATAAGAATAAAAGAAGGAAAAGAAAAAGGAAAGGAAAGGAGCTCATTAATACCCAAGGTGGCAAACTCACGTGGCACCATGGCTCAAGCAAAGAACAGATATAAATCAAGTGAGCCTAGTATAAGGCAGTAGGAGGAGGTAGGGGCTGTGGAAGCCATGCCCAGCCTAAAAGGCAGCTGCTACTCAACTCCAGCTGAAGTTTCCCAAGCCCAGTGTAACCAAAGCTTTCAATTAAGAGAAGCTGGAACTATTTTTTTAACCTGAAATATCTCAAATGTTGCATGTTGGCAATCAATTTAACTCAAACATCCGCACATAGAATAGTGCCTTATTTGGTATGTTAAAAGACATCCACATACAACGTGCAGTTCATGGGTCGTAAGTTTGCAGCCTCTAAGAGAGAGAAGTGAGCAACTGGAAGCTAAAACTGACAGCAGAGTCTGAAGCTTGAAATGGATCATTTACATGGAAGAGTTCTTCCATTCTCTGTCCTTGGATAAGGGACAGTCCCCTCAGGACTTTGTACTAACTCCCATCTATGAATGAAATCATTTTTCTCTTCCCTTCTATCCAATGTCCTGGAACCTCAAATAACATTTAGTCTACTCCATCTGTTCTTTCTGATTCTGTTTGTACATATTGCGCTGGTGAATGAACTCCATGTGTACTGAGCTACACAAGAGTTTGTGATCTCTTAGCCTTCTGAGATGGAGAGATGCATAGAAAGTGTTCATAGAAAGTGGAAAGTTGTTTTGCAAGATTTCTCAGATAAGCTATAATACAATTTATTGGTTATTTGAGGATATGCTTATTGATTCAAGATACTATCCATCGAACAGTCCTGGCATTTCACTTAAATATAACAGGGAAGATCCCTAACAGCTATTGTTAGAAAAACAAATCTAGTCCTCAAGGTCTGTTCTGACCCTGGAAGGGGCCGCTGAGGTCATTTGAGAGGTGAGTGGTCAAAAGCATGGTGCCTGAAGGCAGACTTCGTGGGTTCAAATCGCAGCTCTGCCATTTACTATCTGTAAGACCTTAGATATATTACTGAACCTTTTTGTGCCTCAGCTTCCTCTTTTAAGCACACCTACCTCATAGGGCTATTGGGAGGGTTCAACAATTGAAGATTAGACATAGATGTAGGCGTAGATACTACAGAAAGATGGAGAGAGAGTGCTTGGAACAGGATTTGGCACTTAAGTGTTGGCTCCCACTCTACAGCAGTGATGACTGGAACGTCATCAGTCCAGATGCACCTCAGCTACCTAGATTACTCCAGGTAATCTACCTTTAGGAATCCTGTATTAAGGCCGGGCTCAGTGGCTCATGCCTGTAATCCCAGCATTTAGGGAGGCCAAGGTGGGCGGATCACCTGAGATCAGGAATTCGAGATCAGCCTGGCCAAGGTGGTGAAACCCCATCTCTACTAAAAAACAAAATACACAAATTAGCCTGACTTGGTGGCACAGGCCTGTAATCCCAGCTACTCGGGAGGCTGAGGCAGAGAATTGCTTAAACCGGGGAGGCGGAGGTTACAGTAAGCTGAGATCGTACTAGTGCACTCCAGCCTGGGTGACAGAGCAAGACTCCAACTCAAAAAAAGAATCTCATATTAAAATGTAGGTACTTGTGGGAGAGCTAGAACCTTAAGTTCAGCTAATACCTTCTTGGGGATTACTGTGAGAGCCAGATGTAACAGGACATGACCTAAGAGAGGATTCTGGGGATGGAGAAAACAGAAGTTGGTAGACAGGAACCCCCAAAATACTAGGTGGCTTAAATGACAGAAATTTACTTTCTCGAAATTCTGTAGGCCAGAAGTGCAAGATCAAGGTGCTGGCAGGACTGGTTTCTTCTGAAGCCTCTCACTTTCACTCGTAGATGGCCATCTTCCTCCACAGCGTTCACGTTGTCTTTCTCTGCGTGTCTGTGTCCAAATCTCCTCTTCTTAAAAGGACACTAGTCTGGCTGGGTGCAGTGGCTCACACCTGTTAATCCCAGCTCTTTGGGAGGCTGAGGAGGATGAATCACCTGAGGTCAGGAGTTTGAGACCAGCCTGACCAATATGATGAAACCCTGTCTCTACTAAAAATACAAAATTAGCCAGGCGTGGTGGTGCATGCCTGTGATCCCAGCTACTTGAGAGGCTGAGGCAAGAGAATCACTTGAACCTGGGAGGTGGAGGTTGTAGTGAGCAGACATTGCACCACTGCGCTCCAGCCTGGGCAGCAAGAGGGAAGCTGTATCTCAAAAAAAAAAAAAAGACACTAGTTTTATTGGATTAGGGTCCACCCATATGCCCTCAGTTTACCCTAATTACCTCTTTTGTTTGTTTGTTTTTTGAGACAGAGTCTCAAGCGATTCTCCTGCCTCTGCCTCACGAATAGCTGAGATTACAGGTGCCCGCCACCACGCCCGGCTGATTTTTGTATTTTTAGTGGAGATGGGGTTTCACCATATTTCTCAGGTTGGTCTCCAACTCCTGATCTCAGATGATCCACCTGCCTCAGCCTCCCAGAATGCTGGGATTACAGGTGTGAGCCACCACACCCAGTCCTTAATTACCTTTTTAAAGGTCTTATCTCCAAACAGTCACATTTTGGGATCCTGGGAGTTATGAACATAATTCTACCCATAACACTCAGGCACGCATTAGAATCCCCAGGACGTCCTTTGACCATGCCCTACATCAAAAGCATCAGAACTTCTGAGGGTGAGATACAGGGCTCTGAACTTCTTAAAACACTCCAGGGGCCTCCCATGTGTAGCCAGGGTTGGTCAGCCCTGGAGCAGCTGGCTTTCCACTCAGAGCACTCTTTGGTGGTCCTCTTTGGTGGTAGCTTGCTCCGCCATGCATCTTCATGAATTTCTCCATCACGATCCGGCCACACTGACCAGCAGAAGAACACTTGCTGACAAAGGGGCGAGGGAAAGATGGCCCACGTCGAGCATCTGTCTTCCCTCTCCTCCTGATTGATCACTTTATACAATAATAAAACTTTTAAAAGGTTGAACCTGAACTGAGGCTGTGACTGTGACACAATTAATCAAACTCTTGAAGACTCATGTTACATTATGTGCTTCAGGCATTGATCCACTTCACTAGAAGTTGGCCTGAAATACAGCCTAGACACAGGATATTGGATCCGTAAGGAATGGCCGGGATGCTGTCAATTGCTTTGTGTCTCTGTGTGATATGTGGTCCTATAGCAGACCAGACCACAAAGCAGGACAAATTCCAGTGCATCACAGAGGACATCATCCAGTCCCCAGCTGGCCCCAAATTGCTAGGAGTGCAAGTACAGATAAGAGAGAGCTCATTACGGTGTGTTCCTAAAAGCTGCTATCATAATACCTTCATCCCCCAGGCCCCTAGTCTCTTTCCCTCTTCTTGATTTGATGCCAGACAATACCAGGATCTCTGGCACCATAAAATTTTCCCGAGGGAGGCACAAGTTTGGGTCCTCTCTAAATCAAAGTTTTGTTTTGTTTTGTTTTGTTTCTTGAGATGGAGTCTCGCTCTGTCACCGAGGCTGGAGTACAGTGTTGCAATCTCAGCTCACTGCAACCTCCACCTCCCGGGTTCAAGTGATTCTCCTGCCTCAGCTTCCCAAGTAGTTGGGATTACAGGTGTGTGCCACCATGTCTGGCTAAGTTTTTTGTATTTTTGGTAGAGATGGGGTTTCACTGTGTTAGCCAGGTTGGTCTTGATCTCCTGACCTTGGGATTCACCCACCTCAGCCTCCCAAAGTGCTGGGATTATGGGCGTGAGCCACCGCAACCAGCCTAAATCAAAGTTTTAAAGGACTAAGTGCATCCCCCCGCTCTTTTTTTATTTTTTTGAGACAGAGTCTTGCTCTGTCACCCTGGCTAGAGTACAGTGATGCAGTCCTAGCTCACTGTAGCCTCATACTCCTGGGCTCAAGTGATCCTCCCACCTCAGCCTCCCAAGTAGCTGGGGCTACAGTTGTGGCCTACCACATGGGGCTCATTTTTAAAGTTTCTGTAGAGATGGAGTTTTACTATGCTGCCCAGGCTGGTCTTGAACTTCTGTCCTCAAGCAGTCCTCCTACCACGTTGGCCTCCTAAAGCACTGGGATTCCAGGTGTGAGCCACTGCTCTGAGCCCGCATCCCTCTTGTGTCACAGGGATGCATCAAGCCAGTGATAGCATCTAGCATCTCTGTGCAGTACTTTCTAGTTAACTGAGCAGTTACAATCCTCAAACATTTGAGCCTCACCTCAGCTCCATGAGGTAGATGAGCCAAGATTTCTGATCCCCATTTCCCAGAAAAGGAAACTTTCTGGGAAAGGGATGAGAGTTGCCAAGATCATAGAATGTGTGGTAGAACTAGAATACAGTACCTAGTTTTAGGACTCGGATCCTGTGGCTTTTGGTAACACCCTGCTGCAGGCAGCATTGGAGACCACAAAGGAAATCAGAGCTTCTACTGGCCCGAGGCAAAGCCAGGTAATGGGCAAAGCTCCTTTGATGCTTTGCTTTCTCCTCTGGACACCCCTCCCACCCTGTGATGCTCACTGCGTCAGCTCACACTTTGACCAGCATCTCTGGGTCCTGAAGTCTCTCTGTGTTCCCCTCTTAAAAATACCTTGTCGTAGCTGGCCCAGTAGGAAGAATCAAAGCGCAGCTTGACCTGGCTGCATGACCCTGGGCAAGTTACATTTTGCTTTTGAGTTTCCTCCTCTGTGAAATGGATTTTTTTACTAGAAACTACTTCCTTAGGGTTGAGTGAAAGCTTGTATGAGTTATGTACATAAAGCATTCTGGACCATGAATCGTGTTTATTAAGCACTTCGAAAGGGCAGTTGTTTTTTAAAATGATTTATACTTAGGCATTCATTATATATAACAGGCACAGTAGCTAAAACGCTGTACACTGACTTGTTCTCACGGTATTTTCATGTATTCTTCCACTGAATTCTCAGGTCCACACTAGAAAGCAAATCCTATTATTACTCCCACTTTACAGATAGAGAAACTGAGGCCACAGAGAAGTTAATGAGAGCCAGCAAGGAACAGAACCTGAATTGGAGCTGAGGGTGTCTAACTCTAAAACCAGCACCCCCAGCTAAGACACAAAGCTGCAGTTGTGGTGGGGTGGGTGACAAATGCCTAATAGTGCCCCTTGCCATCTGCATTTTTAAATAAGAATATCTGGGCCCAGCATGGCGGCTCATGCCTGTAATCCCAGCACTTTGGGAGGCCAAGGCAGGCAGATCACTTGAAGTGAGGTGATCAAGACCAGCCTGGCCGACATGACAAAACACTGTCTCTATTAATAATACAAAAATCAGCTGGACATGGTGGTGCACACCTGTAGTCCCAGCTACTCAGGAGGCTGAGGCAGGAGAATCACTTGAACCGTGGAGGCAGAGGTTTCAGTGAGCTGAGATGGTGTCACTGCACTCCAGCCTGTGCAACAGAGCGAGACTCTGTCTTAAAAAATAAATAAGTAAAAATATAAATAAATAATATCTTTGAATCAAATCAATAATTTAAGTGTACTCTACTGACATGGAGAGTTCTGAATCCGCAGTGTTCAAACATCAAGCGTTATAGCAGACAGCATAGACTAGATGCAGGAAACAGGGCTTTCCTGGTGCTGCTACCATTATGCTGTGAGTGTGCTCTTTTTTTAAATTGAGGAAAGGAAGGACAAGAAAATGATAATATTAATAGTTTTTGTAAAAAAAATGGACCAGGCTAGGGTAAGGATAACAGGATTTTTCATCTTCATTCTATATTTTTCTATATCTGAGTTTCCCAACCTGGCTCCACAAATGAGGTTTGCTTTATGCCAACAGGATTTATTACTATAAACCTATTGTTTGGGGCCAGTTGCAGTGGCTCACGCCTGTCATCCCAGCACTTTGAGAGGCAGAGGCAGGTGGATTACCTGAGGTCAGGAATTCGAGACCAGCCTGGCCAACATGATGAAACCCCATATCTACTAAAAATACAAAAAATTAGCCAGGTGTGGTGGTGTATACCTAGTAATCCTAGCTACTTAGGAGGCTGTGGCAGGAGAATCACTTGAACCCATACAGCAGAGATTGCAGTGAGCTGATATCGCACCACTGCATTCCTGCCTGGGCAATGGAGCGAGACGCCACCTAAAAAAAAAAATGCTTGTTTTGTTCTTTGTTGTTTGCTTTTCTACATACTCCACACTTGAAAAGTTAATGAAATCTGTTTTAAAATGATAGTGTAAACCCAATTGCTAGCTCCACACCGATGTCACTCTCCTTGTCCTCGTGTTGCCTACCGTCTCAAGGCACATCTAGATATTGTAGACCCTCTCAGAGAAGAATGTGTGGTGCCAGGGATCCTGGGATCATCTGGAAAGACGGAAAGGATGAAAGAATTGGAACACACAGCAAGATGGGATGTAATTAAGTGCCCAGGAACGCCGAGCCATCTCTTGAAACTGTAGGAGTGCAGCTCTGTTTCCAAACATGGTATTTTCCCTGATGTGTTTTTTTTCCTTCACCAAAAATTTTCCACTTTAATTATGTGGGTTAGGTTAGGGGAGCTCACCTTCGGAACTTTACACGCGCAAACAGCTAATCCCTTCCATAAGACACATTTCTGGGAAAGCCCAGAAATAAATGTTTACAACCTGTGCTGGTATAACAGAACCCAGTGAAATTTGAAATGATTTAAGCGTTAGAGGTCCATGCCCTAAGAAACAATTTTGGGAGAGCATTCTGGAATTCTGCCCTTCATTGTCACAAAGAGTGGAATCACTGGCAGTGCTCTCAGGTTAGATGCTTTCCCTCTTTTCCTGATTTTGCCTTAAACACGAGGAGGATAGTTAATTAAAACCACATTTAAAATATTATGTTGACTACCTAAAGGAACAAAGTTTATTCAAATTGCTGAGCATTAAGTACAGAAACTTAAAATAGCCTGAGCACACTCTTCTTAGCCCATACCCAAAATATCAGTTGAAAGGAGCCTGAGCACAGACGTTGATGAGTGGGCACACACACGTCCACACACACACACACCACATGCACACACGCACATCTGCATGCACACACCCATACACACGTGCACACACTGTACACGTCAATACATTGATATATCAGTAAACTGAATGCATTTCTCAAGTAACCAGCATTTGACAAGCAGAGGGCAAAGATGATCTTCTAATTAAGGTACTTAGAAGGCTCTGACTCCTTAAAATTATGAAATGGTCTCATACAGGCTCAGAGGAGGTAGAGACTGACACTAGATATCACTTCAACTCTTTTTTCCTTTTTCTTTTTTCTTTTTTTTTTTTTTTTTTTTGGTGACAGAGTCTGGCACCCAGGCTGGAGTGCAGTGGTGTGATCTCGGCTCTCTGCAACCTCCTCCTCCCAGGTTCAAGCAATTTTCATGCCTCAGCCTCCCGAGTAGCTGGGATTACAGGCACCGGCTACCATGCCTGGCTAATTTTTGTATTTTTAGGAGACATGGTATTTCACCATGTTGGCCAGGCAGGTCTTGAACTCCCAACCTGAAGTGATCCACCCGCCTCAGCCTCCCAAAGTGCTAGAATTACCTCCGCGCCTGGCCCACTTCAACTCTTTGAGGCTCAGTTTCTCCCCTGGTCATCTGGGGTCAGTGGTATCCCCTTTGGAAGTGTGGGGAAGGTTTAAGGAGAGACTTAGCACAAAGTAGATAGGCACTTGGTCAGTGAAATACCCCTTTCTCCCAGGGAATCTTTTTTGGGTTCTATTGATAAGAGATGGGCAGCTTGCTAGGTTTGTTATGAAGATATATATATATATGTGGCATGGTGTCTAGGACCTAGTAAGTAATGTTCTGGAAAAATGAAAAATAACAGCCCCACAAGGTTAGTGTTATCCTGTTATATAGATGAGAAACTCCTTGGAAAGGTATTTTCTGATGGTCCCTTCCAGTGCTAAAGAATTCCCTTGTTTGTATCGAAAATGATTGGGGAATTGATCTGGAGTTTTAGAAATAACCAGGATTTCGGGAACAAGTGGAGAAGGATATTTCAGACAGGATCAAACCCTACAGAGGCTTGTAGGAGAATAAGGAAATGGTAAAAGATAAAAAAATAATGCGACGTTTTTTTCCTTCTTCTCCCATATAGAGTGTTTAAGTATGAGTCAGTCAGTGAATTTATTCCTGGGCTTATACTAGGTGTTATTTATTAAGTCCCCAGGCTGAGAGCCAGCATAGGAAAATGGTTAAGAAAAAGTGCTCTGGAGTTGGTCTGCCTGGGTTTGAATTCCTGCCTGTCATTTATAAGGGGTGTGACCATGGGGAATTCTTTCAACCTCTCTGAGCACTAGGTTTCATGATTGTAAAATGAAAATAAGAATAGATTCTTCACATGGTTGCTTTGAGAATTACTCAAGTTAATGTATGCATCACTTTTGCCATGCCTGCACCTGTAAGCATTCAACACATGGTAATTTGTATTGTTGTTGCTGTTTTCATGTGCTTTATATAAAGAAAACAAGATTTGAATGGATTAAGAAATAGGCGAAATCACCCAAACACTAACAACTGGTAGAAACAGGATTCTAAAACCCAGCCCCCTTGTTTTAGTCAGAAAAGGTTCGGTTATGCTAGGTAACAAACAAGCCCAAAGATTAAGTGATGTGATACAATAGAAGTTTATTCCTGATTCACACAAAATCCGTTTCATTTTTGGAAAACTATCCATCCATTTGCTTAACATTCCAGACAGTTTCATTCTTATCCATATTAACACTAGTACCCAGGATCACAGTGGCAAGCAAAGAACAGGAAGGTTGTACACCAGTCAGTAAATGCTTCTATTCACATTTCATTGGCCACTTCTATTCACATTTCATTGGCCAAACAAGTTACGTGTTCACATCCAATTCAAGAAAAAGAATTACAATCATTCTGAATACATAAAAGTTCAGGAAAATAAGTCACCAGCCATTCTCTTAACTACACTCTATGGCACCGTTCTGCTGATCCCTGTGATAGGATCTGCCATTGCCCAACTTTCTCTGTTAGTTTCAACAGCCCTCACTGAAGTGCAGGAAAAAGCATTGGGGTTTTAAATGAACTAATTATTCAGCAACTGTTCCATAATGCCCAGCCTGCACCCTGTTCCTTTCTTGCCTGTCAGCAGTGCTCCGTGGTCAGTGGCGGTCCTCAAGTGCCTCAGTCAGCTTGGCTGAGTCCAAAACCTCCCATGTCTGTATCCAGGGGCGTCCCTCTTCCCGCATCCATCACCAGGGCCCAGTGATGGCGCCTGCGGATGCCCAGCTCTCGCTTGATGTCTCAGTTCCAGAACAGAGATGCTTCAGCTGCTACCTGGGAAGGCTCCGGCCCCAAAAATATTTAGTTAGCAGCCATTCAGTTAAGTGGAATTGACTTTTTATCGGCTTTCCTCTGTACGGCTGCCACCAGCAAAGGCTGTTTCCTTCTTCCTTCTTCTCTGCCTGTCAGTTTCCTCCACATTCCTATCGGCAGCCTTTAGCTCCGATCGATACTAACCGCTGTGTAACAGCTCACGCACGACTGCTCTGGTTTGCATCGATCAGACCCTTCTTCCAACAGGTAGTCAGCTATTTGAGGCAATGACTTGAGATAAACACCTACTTTTACTTCAGGCTAATTCATTTCAGGTGGATTTCAAGGAGGCTCTGCACCCCGTCTCTTAGACAAGCTGAAATCGGAGAGTCAAGATCCACGCATTGCATGCTTGAGATCCTAGGAGACCTTTCTTCCTCTCCCCCTTTTTTTTTCTTTCCCTTGTATTTTGTAAGTGCCACTTATAAACAAGATACCAGGACTTGGGACATTGAAAATGCCACTTGAGAAAATGTGTCGGCCATCCATCCCTCTTTCCTTTTAATGAGATGCGTCCGGGACTGCAGGAAACCAAGGCTGCTGCAGAGGCAGCATTGTCGCTGGGCAACCAAGCATCCTTCCAGCTGCCCCAGAACGAATCTCACAATGTCCTGCAACCCTGGTCCTCTCACCACCTCAGGGGGCAGTCCTTGAATCCACCCCCATCCTTGTTCCAGGCTCACAAGTGAAATTTACCAGGAGTGGATATTGCAAAATAGATTGCTATTTCACAACTGATTGTGGTGTGTGGGAATGGTATGACTTATTAACATTTGCACTGTAACCAAAGAACACACACAAGACTGGCTGATGTACACTTCTTTTCCAATGTGTATACTACGTGTGGCTGAATGGTTCATCTGATACTATCATTCACCTATCACCTGGCTCCCAAATCTCCCGTCTGTTACTCTTTCTTCAGCCCTCCCTTGGCACATCCAGTACTTCAGTCCCTGAGTCCTGTTGAGCTTCCCTGACAGCGCGATTCCATTGTCTCTTCCTTGTATCTAGGCTGCTGTCACTCTCATTCAAGCCCTCATCACCTAGTGCTTGGAACTCTGTAGTATCTTCTTGATGATTGCCTGGCTTCCAGTTGCTCTCTGCTTGGTTAGTTTTGCCCTGCATACAGATAAATTTCTGGTGCCCACTGTGATTGCCTTTCTCTTCTCTGAAGTCCTCAGTGGCTTCCCAGAGCCTCCCAGAATGGAGGATAAATTCCTTTACCCATCTTTCTGGTCCTTTCTCTCTTTATCTTTCCCCATTCTCTAGCACAAACCCCACACCGGTCCATCTGGATGACTCGCTGCCTCCTCTATGTGTATTTTTCAACACCATGCCTAAGAAACAAATGCCGTCTCCCACACCCTCTTTGAAACTGGTTCAAATCCTGGTTCGACTACTTACAACTGTGTGACCTTCACAAAGTTATGTAACTTCTCTCTGCCTCAATTTCTCATCTGTGAAGTGGGGTAATAATAGTACTGTATTAGGGTTCTGTAGAGGGACAGAACTAATGGAATATATAGATAAAGGGGAATTTATTAAGTGTTAACTCACATGATCACAAGATCCCACAATAGGCCATCTGCAGGCTGAGGAGCGAGGGGAGCCAGTCCGAGTTCCAAAACTGAAGAACTTGGAGTCTGATGTTCGAGGGCAGGAATCATCCAGCACAGGAGAAAGATGTAGGCTTGGAGGCTAGGCCATTCTCTCTTTTCACATTTTTCTGCCAGCTTATATTCTAGCCATGCTGACAGTTGATTAGATGGTGCCCACCCAGATTAAGGGTAGCTCTGCCTTTCCCAGCCCAAATGACTCAAGTGTTAATCTCCTTCTGCAACACTCTCACAGACACAGCCAGGATGGATACTTTGTATCTTTCAGTCCAATTGAGTTGACAGGATTAACCATCACAGTACCTACCCCATAAAGTGGATATGAGGATTCAACAAATTAATGTATGTACGGCATCCAGAATGGTACCTGCACATAGTAGGTGCCATGTCAATGTTTGCTCTATGATTTTGTTCATCTCTCCAAGCCACAACTCAAAGCAGACCTCATCCGTGAATATTCTGCAGGTCACCCTGGCAAAAATAAATAAATATATTCATTTCCTACAGCTCCCGGTTTCTTCTGCTACTATAATAATATTGCAGTAAACAGTGACTGGGTGCTAGTTACACGCCCAGTGCTTTCCTATGCATTACTGCTTTTAAATCCATGGACTGAATACCTTCCATTTGCCCCAGATTACTCTCCCACCTTCCCCACATTGCTTTTTGCCGCAAGAGGCTGATTTGAAGCCCAGTGGCTTCCGATGGGATTTGGCCCATAAGGATCACTGGCAGAAATGGTCAAGAGGAAGAAGTTAGATCAGAGTTTGTATTCTCCCAGCCCCTGTTCCAACCACATCACTGCAGAACAGACTCATTTCTCAACACAAGGTTATATGTCCTGTTAAGCGGCCCTCTTGACCCTCCCCAGCTTCTGGTTACCAGGCCCTGTCCATGCTTCACACCTGGGTGGTATCACAGTCCCAGGGCACTACACTCTCTTCTGTGTTTCCCTGAACCCTGAGCACTTCTCTGTAGACGCAGTAGTCCTATATAAGCTCTTCTCAAGTTATCCTAATACGGAGTGTCACCCTGGCTGACACAGTTCTCATTATAACCCTACAAAGCATGTACTGTCACTGTTACATTGTTACCAAAGGTGCCCAGGATTATATCCAAGTGGTGGGACTGCATCTGCCTGGCTCCAAAGCCCACACTCTGAACCTTTCTAGGGTATGGTCTGAATGTTGAAACCTAACCCTCAATGTGAAATGTGATGATATCAGGAGCTAGGTGGGAAGGGATTAGGTCATGGGGGTGGAGCTCTCAAGAATGAATGGAATTAGCGATCTTATAAAAGATACCCAAATAGCTAGCTTGCCCTTTCTACCACATGAAGACACAGCAAGGAGACACCATCTATGAACCAGAAAGCAGGCCCTCACCAGACACCAGATCTGCCGGCCCCAGTGCCTTGATCTTAGACTTCCGAGCCTCCAGAACTGGGATAAATATATTTCTGCTACTTAAAAGCAACCCATTTTATGGTATTTTGTTATGGCAGCTTGAACAGGCCAACACGCTCTATTATAATAGCTCTCCTGTACAAGGTTGTAAGGTGATTATTTCTACATGGATTTTCCCACCTGTGACTCAGACTGTATTGGTTGGTTGGTTGGTTGGTTTTGCCATCTGTCTTAGTCCATCTGTGCTGCTATAACAAAACACCACAGACTGGGTAACTTATAAACAATAGAAATATATTTCTCAGTTTTGGAGCCTGAGAAGTCCAAGATCAAGGTACTGGCAAATTTCATATCTCGTGAGGTCCCATTCCTCAGAAATGGCATCTTCTCACTGTGTCTTCTTAGTATAGAAGAAACAAGCAAGCTCCCCCAGGCCTCTTCTATAAGGGCATGAGTCCCATTCAGGAGGACTCTCCCCTCATAATCCAGTCACCTCCCAAAGGCCCTACCTCTGAATATCCCTAAATTGGGGATTAGGTTTCAACTTATTATTTCCAGGAGACATAAATGTTGAGACCATGGCAACATATTTTTAAATATCCAAAACTTAGAGGCTTAAAACCATAATCAATAATTAGCTCACCACCCTGGGGGCTGGCAGTTTGGGTTGGGCTTAGCTGGGAAGTTCTTCTGCTGAGTTCACCTGAACTTGTGAATGTGGCTATGGTCAGGTAAGGACTGGCTGAGGCCTGGTGGTACTGGATGGTGTTGCTTATGTTCCTGAAAGCTGGGAAGGATCCACAAGGGTGACCAGGCTATGTATCTCCAAGATCTGGTAATCAAGTCTAGACTTCTTCACATAATGGCTGGATTCCAAAATAGCAGAAGACGGTAAGCCCCCTGTGTAAGCGCTTGCCAAGTTTCTCCTTGCATTGGGTTTTCTGACGCCCCATGAGTATAACCCAGATTTGGGGGCCGGTGAAATGGACTCCACCTCTTGGTGGGAGGAGCTGCAAAATACTGCAGCCATTTTTTTTTAATCTACCACATGAGACACTTTTTTCCAGAAAGATCTATGCCTTGACAACTTCATATCCTGTATCCTCATAACCCAAGTCAGAAAAGCAATGTGGGGGCTGGCCCTGTGTTTTAGAGGGTGGGGAGTGTCCTCTTTATAGCTTGGTGAACATCTGACACTTCCTGCCTGTTACCACCAGACTGAAAATAATTCTGAAAGGGAAGTCTCTTAAAACGTAGCATGAGGGAGTGGAATTTTTTTTTAATTAGGCTTCAGCAGAATTTTTAAAAGAATCTTTTCTTTTCTTCAGTTGCCTCTCCCTTGTTATAAATTTTAACTCCACCCAGCGGCCAACCACAGCCAGCCTGGCCTCTCCTTCTCCCTCCTCCACACCACTGTTTGCTTGGCAGCAGTGCTCAGCTCCCAGGGCCATGGAAGGCCGAGGGAGAAGTGTTGCTTCCTGCTCTCCTCACTTCATGTTTTCTTTCCTCTGCTCCTTCTGGGGCTGACCCTTGACTGCTCACTCCTGCTCTGTACCCATTTGCTGCCCCGCTAGGAACAGGATGCTAGGAAGGGTTGGAAGGTTTGTCTGTAGGGAATCCCCCAGAACCACCCCCCCTCCATCTTGGGCATTGCACCCTATGGTGGCCTAGGGACACAGCCGGAAGACTTGACCTCCAGGAAGCCCCAAGACAGAAAACAAATCTTAAAAGTAGTTGTATGTGGCCGGGCATGGTAGCTCACACTTGTAATCCCAGCACTTTGAAAGACCAAGGCAGGTGGATCACTTGAGGTCAGGAGTTTGAGACCAGCCTCTGGCCAATATGACAAAACTCTGTCTCTACTAAAAAAAAAAATAATTAGCCGGGCATGGTGGCACATATCTGTAGTTCCAGCCACTCAGGAGACTGAAGCATGAGAATCCCTTGAACCCGGGAGGCAGAGGTTGCAGTGAGCCAAGACTGTGTCACTGCACTCCAG